CCTGCCGTTCATTCAACTGAGACAGGAGGTCCAAGTTCTTATACATTTGCTTCACACCTAAGCAGGCCTCAGGGGACCAAGTCTCAGACTCCTGCTTCCTTGGGGAAGTCTGGCCGGACATGTATCGGTCAAAATCCTCCTGACTTAAATTCAAAGACTGAGCATCTAATTTCTCAATGAAAGCCACAGCACAGCACTACAGAGGAAAGAGAAAGGCATTGCAGTCAAGGCAGACAGGTTGCAGGAGTTCAGGCAGATTTTAAAAATATATCCCCACCAAAGTATTGAACCCAGGGTCCCGTGTAGGTTAGGCAGAACTCTGCTACAAGCTATACCCCTAGCCCTTTCCTGTGTCGTTGAGACAGCTGTTAGCCAAGCTAGCCCTAAACCTACTATACAGCCACAAATGATCTTGAGTTCCTTATCTCCTGGATCCTCACACCTCTGCTTCCAGAGTCCTGAGATTACAGGCATGGGCTACCAGGCCTGGCTTCTTCTCTTTGTAAGACAGGGTCTCACTATGGAACCAGAGCTCTTGATCTATCCACCTCATCCTCTCAGCTGCTGCCATGTACTAGCACGCCCACTTTCCTGGATACATGATTTTCCCTTTGTTCACGAATTTCGTTGGTCCAATGGCTTCACAGTTCCACTACTTCCTTGCTCCTCAGTAGATTCTGCCTTCCGTTCCCCATTCTGCCATCTCTATCATCTCTCCCAGCTCTGTCTCCTTAGTCCCAGCTGTCCCCACCTATGAGCATTCACAGGTCTGTATTACCTGCCTTCAACTCACCCTGAGCTCCGGTCATCTATTACATGGGAAACATGCATTCAAAACCAAAACAGCTTCCACGTCTACTGAGCTTTCCTTCCCCAGTCTCCCCTATTCATGTCAGTGGCAATGCTGAAACTCCCCCATTAAGTCAGCAGCACTGATCAGGTGATCCCTCCTTGCAGTAGATCACATGGGGCCACAGCGATGCTGATGCCAAACAAGCAACAGGAGCCAGGCAGCATGCTCTCCTCAGATCTCAACTCCTCACGGGATGATCTGCTGAGTGTCAGTGCACTTCTGGAGAAGTGCAGGGAGGTAGAATAGGTGTATAGCCTAGTCACCTCCCCTCTGACAGACAGACTTGCACCCCCTCACACCCCCCAGAGCTCTAAGCTGCCACAGGACCCTCAGGTAAATCCCCTCCTGGGTCTTGTCCCTTCAGGAGTCAAATCTTACTAGGTTGGTGAAATAGTAGCCATCCTCGCCAGTCATAAGCCGGCTGGGGTTGCAGAAGCGAGTGATGTACTGGATGTTGGACTGCAGGCGAGGGGGGTTGCCCTTCAGGACGATGTAGATGAGGGTGGGCAGGAAGTCATCGGCTGAGGCTGGCTCATTCTTGGTGATCTTGATGGCATTGAAGATGTGCTTGCTGCACCTGGTGATGCAGGCTAGCTTGTCC